ATTCTGTAGGTAGATACTTAGATGTGAAATTTCTGGGTTGTATGGCATATACTTTTTTAATCTTTTGAGAAACCACCATACTGTTTCCATAGAGGATGGACCAGTCAACATTCCAACCAACAATTTAAGAGGGTTCCTTTTTCTCCACATCCTCACCAGCACTTTGCTTCTGGGCTTTTTGATATTGGGCACTCTCATAGGTGTGAGGTGGTTCTCTCATTGTGGTTTTGATTTGCATTTTTCTGACAGTAAGTGATGATGAACATTTTTTTATGTGCCTGTTGACCAATTATATGTCTTCTTTAGAGAGATGCCTATTTATTCTGCCCAATTTTTTGATTGTGTTGTTTTCTTTTTGTTGAGTTGTATGAGCTCTTTGTAGATCTTTGATATCAGCCTTTTGTCAAATGTATGGTGTGCAAATATTTTCTCCCATTCAGTAGGGTGTCTTTTTTTTAGTGACATTTTCTTTAACTGTGCAGAAGATTTTTAGTTTGATGTAGTCCCATTTTTTCATTCTCTTTCATTTTCCTTGCTGCTGGAGATGAATACACAAAGACATCTCTGAAGCCTATGTTGTGGAATATTTTGGCTGTGTTTTCTTCTACGCTCTTCCATCCAAGTCATTTATGCATTTTGAGTTGATTTTTGTGCATGACATGAGTTAGTGGTCTAGTTTCACTCTTTTGTATATAGCTGTCTGGTTTTCTCACCAACATTTGTTGAAGAATCTTTTCTCCATTGTATACTCTTGGCTCCTTTGACATAAACAATCCATATAAATGTGGTTGTATTTCTGGGCTCTATATGCTGTTCCATTAGTTTGTGTTTCTATTTCTAATACCACACTGTTTTGATTTCTGTAGCCTTGCAGTATAGTTTGAAATCTGAGTGCATGATACCTCTGTTCCTCTTCTTTTTTGGTCAAAATTGCTTTGGCTATTAGGGGTCTTTTATGGTTCCATAAAAATTTCAGTAATGAATTCCATTGAAACATTGATAGGGATTGTATTGAAATCTGTATATTGCTTTCAATAAGATGGACATTTTAATCATGTTAATACTCCCAATCCATGAACGTAAAATATCTTTCCTCATACATTTCATTTCTTTTAATAGTGTCTAATAGTTTTCATTGAAAGGTCTTTCACCTCCTCCATTAGGTTTATTCCTAGGTAGTTGATACTTTTTGATGCTACTGTAAATGGGATTGTTTACTTGATTTCTTCTTCTTCATTATTTACATATAGGAATGCAACTGACTTTTGTATATTGATTTAGTAGTCTGCCACTTTACTGATTTGTTATTTCTAATAGTTGTTTGGTGTACATATTGTGTTACCTGCACATATATCTTTTATGACTTTCTCTTGTCTAATTGCTCTCGCCAGGATTGTGAAGACAATGCACTGAATAGTAGTAGTGAAAGTGGACATCTTTGTCTTGTTCCTTACCTTAGTGGAAAAGCTTTCAATTTTTCACCATTGACTATCCTGCTAGCTGAGGGTTTAAAATATATATGGCCTTTATTATGTTGAGGTATGTTCCTTCCGTCCCTGTTTTACTAAAAGGTTTTTTTTAAAAAAGATTTATTATTTATTTTTATATAAGAACTGGGGTACAGGCCAGAGGCTCGGGAGGGTGAGTGGATTCACCAGAGACAGAGCAGGTAGCAGAACAGTCAGACGGATGAAATACACTGCTGAGGGGAGCAGTGGGCGTGGCAGGACAGATCTGCTGTGCCTTGTGGGTTTCTCCCTGGCCAGCCAGGAATCAAATCCATGCTGCAGAGGCTGCGGACAGCTTCACAGCACTGCGCTCAACCTGCTGCACCACTGGAGAGGCCCAAGAGTTTTTTTTTTAAATCATAAATGGACACTGGATCTTGTCAAATGTCTACTCTACATCTATTGCCGTCATTTGATTTGTATATTTTGTCAATACTGTGAATTCATTGATTTGCATATATTTAACCATCTTTGCCTCTTAGAAATGAATCCTACTTGGTCACGATGTATGATTCTTTTAACATATTGTTGTATTTGGTTTGCTAAGATTTTGTTGAGAATTTTTGCATCTTGTTGACAGTGGTTTGTAGGCTTTTGTTTGTTTTTGTTTTGTAATGTGTTTGCTTTTGGTATCAAAGTCATGTTGGCTTCATAAATTGTGGTTGGAACCATTTCCTCTTCCTTGATTTTTTTGAACAGTTTGAAAAGGATAGGTATTAGATACTCTTTGAAGGTTTGGCAGAACTCACTAGTAAAACTATCTGGTCTTAGACTTTTAGCAGATGATTTTGATACATTCAGGAAATTTGACAAATCATAATCTGAAATGTTTATGCTGAAATTTGCAGTCCACATCTGTAGGCTCCGAAGTTTTAATATTTTTAAGCCTTAGTCTAGGGCTCATCTCCCAGGTAATTGTTGACTTTGAGTATCTGGCACACTCTTTCACCCTTCATATCACAGCCAAATCTGAGCAGTGGTCCATTTGTGAAAATAAAGTTTTATTGGAACAGACACACCCATTATTTTAAGTCTGTTTTCTTCCCCTCTGTATATTTATGTGACTTATAATAATATTTCTACATCTCACAAATATATTTATGGAGAAGCATCAGATAATATCCTTACAGTTCTCTCTCTGATATTCTGAAACATGTATCACAGGAAGTATTTTTGCCTCTACCTTTTCCACCTTTGCTCTTTCAATTCCCCGAACAACCTCACTTTGTTGCTACACCCACTGCAGCTTAGTCCTCTTTGTCTTCTAAAATTACCAGCCCTTTTAAGGAGTGTGAGAAGGGGATGTAGCTTTCCAACTAGTCCAAAAACACATTTGTACAGACACCTGTATATACTTAATGCAGAGAAGCAAGGTGCTAAATACACTGACAAAAAAAAAAAAGTCAGAGTTTGATGTCATTTTATTTTCCCCACTAAGCCCTCTCGATTTCATGTTTGTTGAGGACATAGCAGTCAGTGTACTTTGTGAGGAAGTTTTTGATATGGACCCAAGTGGGTTAATGAAGCAAAGAGGAGTAGATTTTCCCTGACTTGCTCACTGGGTAACAGAGCAGCCACTCACCAGAAGGCTGAGTAGTTAAGCTGTACTTGAAGACGAACAGGGATAGTAATACCTCTTTCCTGCATTTTTACAGTCTAAAATGCCCTGTGGAATGAGAGAAGACTTCAATCCCTAGGCTTGTGAATCCCTTATCTTTCCCAAACGTTAAATTAATTTTTAAGGCTATTTATTCAAAGTTGACTTAACCACTAGAATAGAAAAGATCAGACAAATCAGCTGCAAGAAATAAAGTATGAGGAAACCCGAACTCTTTGACAAAGTATTCCTGAGAGTAAATGTGTTGAATGAAGCCAGCGGGTAAATGATAAGGGCCTTTACACTGTGGATGTAAGATAGCAATTTATCAAGAGTACATGAACTCTCTGGTGGCCACAAGTCCGGAGGAAATGAGAGTTGAGGAGGAGCCTGAAAAAATATATTTGAAATACTAAAAAAAAAAAAAGTGTATGTGTGCATGCACTTTTAAATACCCGCATTAATATGCAGATACTGGTATACTGAAATAGGAGTTGCTCAGAGCACACATGTACAAGTACCCCATACTGTTACAGAAAAAGGTGTTGGGAAGCTTATTGGAAAGGCCAGACAGTGGTCTAGGACTTGCTGAAACCTTGGGTCCTGTCAGGTGCAGTTAAGATTCCAGCTTGGATGTTGTTGTCCAACAGCCATTTGCCTGACTGGAGATTAGATGACCATCTTTCAGACTTACATGTTTATCTGTTTTAATCTCTAGAAGGTCACACGTGTATAATTCTGACAGTTGATCTAATGCTTTTGTGTGCTCTTAAGGAGTTCAAAGCACTTCTCCTTCATTATCTCAATCTTTGCAGCATCTCCTTGAGCCCCATAGATAAGACAATCTTATCTTAATTATTCACCTTAGAGAAACTGAGGGAAAATGTGATTATATTATTTGCAGTAGGATTCCCAGTGACTTGGATCAAATGGAAAGTAGAATTAATGACTTTAACTTGGTTTTCAGATCTAGGAGACAGGTGTAATTTCTTAGATTTGAGAAGCAAAAGGCCTGATTATTGAACTTTTAGTTTCATTTAAAGTATTTACTCTGGAAATAGTTACTCTTAGTTTTGTATACTGAAATAACAGCTAAAAAACTTACCAAACTTTGTTTTTAGCCTTTCCTCTTTATTTTCATAGGTTACTAAACCTTGTCCCAACTATTAATAATTACCGTGACTAAATTATGACTTGAATTTCTTTTTATTTGTTTGCATGAATACCTTTTAGGGAACATGTTGAGAACAGCAAAAAAAAAAAAAATTGGGAAAATGAAGTCTTAGAATAATCTCCCTTAGGAGATTTAATTTGAGTTGTATTATTAGCCTTCCACACAGATGTCAGCTTTCCTTATTCACTCTAAATTTAGTTTTTTACCTGTGTAGTCTAAAGGATATATTCCTCTTTCTTCTTGAACCATCCAGGTATTATAAAGGGTGAACCTTATTTTTTTAAATGATACTGGTTTAGTCTATTTTTAGGGCACGTGTTGGGAATTGTTTGTTTTGTCTTTGGTGGGTAGAGAAGAGCATCATTGTATTTGGGTTGAGCCATAGTTCAATTAGTAAATTAGTTAGGCTGGTTTTTAGAGCCAGCCACAGTCATTTAGAAACCTCCTCAGTGGCTCTCTTTCTGAAAGTTGAATGTGTTTTGGATTTGCTGTAGTCTGCAATTTATAAACACATGGAATTAAAGAAAAAACACACACAAAGCAGAGGAGGTGGGAAGAGAACTATTTACATTGTAGAATCTTGCTTAAATATCTGTGGTTTTCATCCATCCTTAGAAATGGAATCTTGATAATTTCCATTAACTTATTTCTATTTTCTTTGTCTTTTCCCTGTATGTTTTTATTCCCTCCTGCTTTTGGAACTTTGGGGGGACAACCACAGCCTTGGATAAGCTCAGCACACAGCACCTGTACCACCCCACCCAAGTGGAGATTGTGCAGTCCAACGTGGTGTTTGACATCAGCAGCCTGATGCTGTACGGGACACAGGCGGTGCCTGTGCGGCTAAAGATCCTGCTGGACCGACTCTTCAGTGTCCTGAAGCAAGAGGAGGTGCTACACATCCTGCACGGCCTGGGCTGGACTCTGCGCGACTATGTCCGGGGGTACATCCTTCAGGTAGGGGGAGGACCTGGAAGCTGGTATCTGGGCCCAGCTCTTGGAGGGATTGGGGAGAATGCTTGGCAAACTTAGTCCCCTTCTGGCCCCTTGAGTGGCACGTAAGAAAGCAATTTTTCAAGAGTACGTGAATTCTCTGGTGAGCATAAGTCAGGAAAAAATCAGTAAATGAGGAACCCTTCAAAAAAAATGTGAAATACTGAAGAAAATGGTGTGTGTGCACACACTTTTACATCCCTGCATTAATATGCAGATAATGGTATATTAAAACAGGAGTTGTTCAGAGTGCGCGCGTGTAGTGGCCTGTATTGTTAGGAAAGTGTGTGATAGAAAGAGTGGTGGAGAATAGCCTGGCAGTGGTTTACCCTTTCTGGTTAGGGTGGTCCTTTTTGGCAGGCTGCTAGGGAACTAGAAAGGAGCTGTGACCCAGCAGGCTGGCATCAGACCAGTGGTGTAGCGTGTGGAAGTAACCTGTTGTCTGGTGTTGCTTTGCTTGCATCTTTTTGAACTCAGCTCTCCCCACGAGGACTTACTGGAGCCCTACGAAATGGGACAGCTCTTTGAGGCAGGTGATGGACTGGTGAAAATCAAATCCGAGATTGCTCTTCATCTGAGTTTAATAGGACTTTCTTCCACAGTTACTATGTAGGTTTGATGTTTTCTTGGTTGTCTGGGTACTTTATTGTTCTTCCTCCAAATTAAAGGAAAAGCTGTAACCTCTGCTAACTCCCTGCTTTTATAAACAGTAAACCTTCACTTTCTAAAACATGCAGATGTTATAGATTTGAACTCCGCAGCACATGGTCTTCCAGCCTTGCGTCCCTTCCTGGTGTCAGTGGCACTTCTGAGCGGGTAAGGGTCTTAAGACTATGGGAGGCCCACAGTCTCCAACCTCCCTGTTTTTTTTTTTTTTTTGTTTGTTTGTTTGTCATTTTTGGCACTGTGTCATGACTCATTTTGCACTGTGTACTTTGCCTCTGAAATGTTTTTATAGCCATCTGTCTTCCTATGACCCTTGAAGGGTAAATGTTGAAAACAGCATCTTGGGAGACCCCAGGATCCAAAAAGACTACACTGGACAATGAAGAGGTACTCTCTCCTGCCATAGGAGATCACAGTTTGAGAAGGTAGAATCTGAAGTGATTTTTGAAGTTTCCAGGGGAATTGACCCCCTTCAAGAAAATTGTTTTTGCTCTGCCAGACTTGTTTATTCCCCAAGCCACCCTGTGTTGTGTGCAAAGCCTTGGCTGCCAACTTGGTATGTGATTTGAGGGGGGCAAAGACTCCACCTGACTTTAACCTGGCATTAAAGCACACACATTCCTGTCATTCTCCTGTGCGTTACCTCTAGGTGTTAACCAGGGAATGAGAGTTGAGGAGGGATGATGAGGGATGTGGGGGATGGGGGAGGAAGGAGAGCCTAACTGTTGCCACGATGACTTTAGTTAGCACAGAATCATTTCTTAGTGAGATGTCAACTTGGAAGGCGCAGAAAATTTGGCCCTAAGAAGACGAGATGATGATGATAATAGTATTAATTATATATTACGTTTTTAGTTTATAGAAGGTGTTCACAAGCATTATCTCATTTGCCTCAGGATGGGGACATTGCACTGGGGTGAGTGGAAAGTCAAGTCCTGGGTGGTCAGGGGACTTGAGGAGGAACAAGGCCCTGGAGGAAGGGGTCCGAAAAATAAGGCATGGAACCAGTTTCACAATCCTTGCTTACACTGGCTTTGAGACACATATAGTACATCTTTCTGCAGGAGTTTCTACAATGTGATTATTAATGTCTATTTTGAATGGATTTTACCCTACGTAAAGCAGCAAACCTCTAGCAGACTTACTAATGGAACTGTTATCTTGGCTAGACGTTATTTCCTTTACTGAAAACGTAAGGTGTCCTACCATTCTTACTGCCTGTGCTATGACATTAGGCTCTATCGTCATTGTTGCACTTCAGACCCATGTGTATATTTTTGCCTCTGATATCCGGAGCATATGCAAGGTCTCTTTCTGTCCAAACAGATAGATATGTGCATGACTGTGACTATCTGTCATCTTAACACCCCTGCCAGATCAGATAACACGGCAGCATTGTGGAGACAGTAAGTACAGAGCCTGCTGGATGTCCTGTGCTCTGATCCTAAGTCCTGTCTTGACCATTACCTCTTCTTTATTTTACTTGAAATTGTTATTTAGCTGTTAATTTTTTCCCCAGTATTTCAACATATTCCTAAGGGAAGTATAGAAAATGTACTCCCATATTTCTTTTTGTATGAGGGCCCAGGTTTTTACAAGTTACAAAATTGCAAGAGAAAAATTGTGTATGAGAGGAAATGAAAAAAAAAAAACTAAAATTTATGGAGCCTCTTATTTGGGGGTGAAATATTGTCATTTATTGGGATAATTGAGTTACAATGAATTTTTATTAATTCAGTATACATTTTGATAGTCTCAAATTTAATATAATCTGCTTTTCCACAGAGTCTAGAATTGACATTTAAAGAAAATCATATAAGATTTTTACATGAGAAGAATACTGGGTTTAATTTGTCTTGTTTATTGATAGAATTGGCATTATATGGATTTTATTCAAATGATGTGTTTTGTCATTCAGCATTTATCATACTCATGAAAACAGTTCTTGATTTAGAAGAAAAGCAGAGGGTTGAAGAACTCAAAACTGTTAACACTTACATAGTGAGAAAATGCATGTTTTGTTTTAAAAACAAAAAGCCAAATAAGACTTAAACTGTAGGTATAAACCCTTTTCTTCTGAAGCACTGTTATTTGATTATTGGCCAATATTTAAAAATTATATGCAGTAATGATAAGGTGTGCACAAATGACTGAATGTAATTATATGTAACATTTCCATACAAGTAGACTATAAAATGTGAGTCCAAAAGGTTGTAGAACCCTATAATGCACTATCTGTGTACGAGTCATTTTATCTGGCTAAAACTCAATTGTCTTGTAGCCCTCAAGGCATCAATTTTAGCATTATTGCTCTCAACAACAGTATATTGAATATTATGTCAGTTAAAGGAGAATAATTATCAAGTCAACTTAGGGTGGCTGTTAGTCTTACCACATATTGACTTGGTTAGCACTTGGCTATAGATTGTGTTACTGGGCAAATGAAGATGTACGGTAAGTTGAACTGGTGAAGCCGGGGTATTAATTTAACTCTCGACCCAAACGTATATCCCTTACATATACACAATGCTCATGGCTTCAGAGATATTTTGAATATGTAAGAGTAGCAGGTGTCTGATCTGGTTTTGAATTTTTTGGATGTGAAGGAACAGGCCATTCAAAACTCTCATTTCAAAGCATTATGAAGAGATAATAAAAGACAAAAAGGGATGATAGTGATGCCACAGGTTCATTTGAAGGACTACCAGTTTATCTCAAAGACCGTGCACTGTTTTGATAAAAATTACTTTTTACTTATGTGATTATCTATGTAATTCATAAGCCAGCCAGCTGGGTGTAATAGCATATCTTGGACTACAATGATTTAAGAATTAAGATAATATCTTAAAGGTAAACCCAGTATTTTCCTATGTACTATTAAATTATTCAGAAAGTACAGAAAAAGAGAGGTAAATTTTAAGTATTTCCCCACAAAACACCAAAAAGAAAATATGAAATTAGATGCTAAAATCCAAATCTAAAGGAGCATATTTTCCTTTGCTGCTAAAAGTAATTCTTATTTCAAGTCTATATGTAATGGCACATTTCTTGACAGTAAATAAAAGCACTATCCTGTTCTTGTCTCATTCTCTCTATATTTGACCTATGATACAAGAATATAAGTGATTATCATTATTGAATTTAATCATTTGCAAATCAAGTTTTCACACAGTCTCTTTTCAGTTTGAACATGTAACTGACTTGCCTGGGCCCTTACATCAGCCCATCTGTGGAAATCTTCTTTACAAATGAGTCCTGCCAGAATTCAGAGACACCTATCAGGTACTCTGAATAATTAACTGAGGTGCCAGCAGCCTGGTGAGAGGACAGGTAGTGATGCACATTTCAGATCACCTGCATCTTGAAACAGTCAGAACTAATAGAACAATCAACACCTTAGAAAGAACATTTTCCAAAGGATTCGAGGGGCCTTACTCTTCCAGAGGTCTGACTTTAGATTTGGAAAGGAACTATACTTAGGATCCTTCTCTAGCAGCCTGGTGATATATGTTAGCATAGTGAAGGCACCCTGAGAAGTCCCAGAGTAAGTTGTTTGTCAGCATGGGAAGTAGCTTCCACCAACTTCACCAAACTTTCTTTCCCACTTCATAGCTGTGTCTTGCCAAACTCTTTAAAAGGCTTCAGTTGCTAAACATACTCAGCTCCCCAACTTGGGGCATTTGCATGTGAAGATACTTCATTTCTTCAAGGGCAAGTTCTTGTTCTGAAGATAACAGACAACTCTCACTTCTTTACAGACACCGTTTCGTCCAGCTTAACCAATAGTGGTTAGTTCTTTTCTCCTGTGGTTCTTTCTTGGGACGCTGTTTCCTTCAAGCTCCAGTTCAATTTAGAGTCAATTGGTTGAGTCAACTGTTAAAATGTTTTTTCCTGGAGTCCTCTCTAGGGAATGCAACAAAGGCAGGGTACTCAGTAAATATTTGTGGAATGCATGGGTAAAGAAATCTGCTCAGTTTGGTCTAGCTTGGATTTTCGCGATGGACTCATGGCACACCCAGTAACTTCTGCTGGTCCAAGGAGCCTTAATCTTTCTTCACGTTGCCAAGGGATTAATTGCTGTAACCACAGCTGGACTGTTGAAGGCAGTAAGAGGAGAAACAAAGGCTTCCACATGCCCTAGCAAGTAGTCTATGTAGAATAAGTATTTTGTGGTATCCTGTGGTTAAAAAAACAGTCAATATTAAGCAAACTCTTGTTTTGTACAGCCCTTGGTGGAAAAAGTTCACACATCTCAGCTCTCTGAATCCTTATACCTATTCTTGTAGATGTTGCCAATG